AGTCCAGCAGGAGCCATGAGGGCCTTAAAGAAGTTCCAAAATATTTGGGAAGGAGAGGGGAGAATGAAGATAAAATGAAGGTCAAATCGGATCTTTCTGTAGAGATCCAATTTTCTTCAACTGAGCAACTTAAAAAAAAAGAAAGAACAAGTAAGTTGGTGAGGGGTGCTCAGTCAGCCTAACTCCTTCCTCCCCCCCTCTCTTTGGATATCCATTTTCCATATGGATTCAATATAGCCATAGGAAATGGCACGTATGACTTGCAAGGAAAAAAAAAAAAAAAGCTTGTAAGCAAGCAAATTGGCAAATATCCTCGGCAGAGGCAAATCTCAGTGTTTAATGATGCATATGCACCTCTAATTAAACAGGAGTTTAAGAGTTCCCAAGTCCCTCTGAACTCCACAATTTGCTCGCGCCGGGGAAGAGCAGAGCACGTCCTGTCCGCAGCCCTGCACACACGCACACACACGCACACCTCTCTACCTCCTCATTAGCAACAGCTTCAAACCAGCCCGAGATCCTCAACTTCTCTGTTTATTCACCAGATAAGCTGCTCCAGGTCCGGTTTATATCCCGCAGGGCCTGCTTCTCCGAGATCGCTCTCTTGATCTCCTCCAGGACCAGGTTGAGCTCCTTCGAGCGCTTCAGGCTCTCCTGCTCGGCTGCGTGCAGTCGGTCCCGGAGGGCAAGAAATTCCCGCTGGTAGATGTCCACAACGTCACCTGTGGATGGAAAAGAGAGAGAAGCTTTCTCCTCCGTGATCTAAAGGGTTTCAAGCTGCAAAAGCAATGCCCATCACTCATACCTTCCCTACATCCACTGTCCTCAAAAGATGGATTTAGGGAGCTGTGGTCCAGCACGCACCTGTCGGTGAGAGGGTTGGAAAGAGGGCAGTTTAAGTTGCAGAACTACAATTAAAAAGCTACTCCCATTTTTCTCTTTAACTTGGGTTTCTGCATCATATAGATGTTCTCTGTGACCAAACCATGCAGCAAAAAGAAAGTTGCATGGTAGTTCTTCTTCACTACATACTCAGAAACAGGGAGTCCGCTGCTAGCCTTAATTTTACAAGCAATATTCTGCATCGTTCTGTAGCTCCAGAAGTTTGGGTGTTTGAGACGGCAACCGCTGGAGTGAGCAGCGGGGAACCGGAGTCAAGTGAAAAAGATCTGAAAGCATTGGTGGTGATTGCCTGTTAAAGCCATGACGAACCCAAGGAATATCAGTATTTTTAATTGCCTTGCTCTGGTTTCCTTATGGCATGCAAAGGAAAGAGTTTTAAGAGCACACATCAAAGGGCATTCAAGTGGGTAATTCAGGAGAACCCCTGGACAGCATCCCGAAGGCCTTCTCCAGATGGCATGGGGCATCTCCCGGATGACTGGATATTAGGAAGGCTGGATATCAGGAAGAACTTCTTCACTGTAAGAGTTGTTAGGCATTGGAATGGGCTCCCCAGGGATGTGGTGGAGTCACCATCCCTGGAGGTGTTCAAAAAATGTTTAGATGTGGCGCTTCAAGACACGGTTTAGTGGGTTTAGTGGGCATGGTGGCATCAGGTATATGGTTGGACTTGATGATCTTTGAGGTGTCTTCCAACCATAATGATTCTATGACTCCGAGTAACGGAGAGCGAGATGCTGGCAAGGGGGATGATGCTGTGCGGCACGATGAGCGCAGGGACAGCACCTCCTCCGGCTTTGGAAGACTCCAACCATAATGATTCTATGACTCCGAGTGACGGAGAGCGAGATGTTGGCAAGGGGGATGCTGCTGTGCAGTGAGATGAGGGCAGGGACAGCTTTGGAAGATAGTCCAAAATTTGAACAGCCAAAAGAGATTTTGGGAATCAAAGCTCTCTGAAACACAGCAGGATAAAGACTATTATATGGCAATAGCTGCCTGGATGCTTATATAAACGCAAGTGTTCGGATATGCACCTTAAGAATGCATCATAAATGTAATAGATAAAAAAGAAACTTTTGATACGGTAATAAAGCTTTTTATTTTGAAACAACATCTTATCACCATGCCCTTTTTAAGCAATAAAACTATCAAGAGCCTTCAGCTGGAACTAACTATACAATAGCTGGGAGTGGAATCAGTTAGCTACTAATGAACTTTCCCAGGCTGTTTTTACCCCATTATTAATGAAACTACTCATTAAAAATACACTTTTATCTGCGGTCACTCATGTGTTTTCAGTAAGGCTGTAACTCACAGGACTACGCCCAAAACAGATTTAGCCACTGAATGGTAGATCCTTAGCCCAAACGCGACCAGGAGAGCTAATAGCCAAAAATACTGCCCTGGAACTTCCCAACACAGGGCTAAATAGAAATCAGAGCCATCGAAAAAAGATACACCGACTGCATCGACAACTTCTATTTTGGGGTCCGTAAAGAAAAAGAAAAAGGAATTTTGAAGATTAAACGTACCCAGCTCCAAAGCACAGTGTTTCCAAGACAACATTGCTTCCCAGTTCAGCTCCCAGTAATGCTTTTGCCTAGGAGAAGTTTCCCCCATGGGGTCTCCTCCCCCAAAAAACCCTTCTTATAGACCCACTGTTTCAACACAAGGGACACCCCCCCCTCCGCCGAAGGCAGTCGGGCTCCTATTTACCTTTCAGCATTATTTTCAAAGCCACTGGCACACGGGGAAGGAGCAGAGGAAGCGACACCCCTTTGATTACTCCATCCATCTGACAACACGTTATTCAGAGAAAGTCGAGGGAAAGACAAACAAGACCAGTCCTTCCTTTCCCCGGTGCGGTGCCGCTCGCTTTCCACTCTCATCAAGAAAACATTTAAAAATTTGCAGAAAAACACGTTAACACCCAGCTTTGGGAGCTGCCACGGGAATTCACAGGAGGATGTCAGGCTTTAAATTGACTCCACGATGAGCCAGACCTTCACCTGCTGGTACCTCTCAGACAGAAGAATACACCTTTCAGCTTCCCAGTACTCTAGATTATAGGTTTTCCAACTCGTATCTTTTACTGGCTGCATCTGTGAACATCAGCAAAGAACAAGTCTCACTTTCTGTTTTTGCATGATATGATGGTAAGAACCATGCTTATGCAAGGCTGGAAGGATTTGGCTCTCGGCATACCAGGGGGTTACTATCCCGTGGATGCTATCAAAGCCAAATCACCGCTAAAGGCTGCCATTAGATCTTGTTCTGCAATACCTGGAGCAGAGTAAAGGCAAGGCTTTGCACTTAATGGCTTTTTCCAGAGCACTGCACTTCGTTTGTGTCAGATTTAGAAGGGAAATGTCACTGATTATTCAGCCACTAATGACCTGCCCGCCAAAGCCAAGAGCTGTACTTTTCATTAGGCAGCAATGGTGATGTGCAGTCAACCATTTGCTGCTTTTCTGGCTAATGGTTGGAAGTGAAATTGTATTTGTTTCCAGTGCTCTTGTCCTATGATGGCTTCGTAGGCTTTCCATTCTTTAATTAAAATTTCATGAAATTTAAAAGCTGATCGATCATGACCGGTTCCAGTGACAGCTTGAACAGTCCGAGACAAAGCCCAAGACGGATGTACAGTTTCCCATGAATTTCCAGTAATGTCATTTTGTACTTGTTGGTTTGCAACGACGTGTGGATGCAGATCCACCATCCTCACAAAAACCCTCAGCCGCTCAGCCAGGGAGGGCTTGGAAAAGCCACGAAGGGTAAGAGAGGATACGGTGGGGGGGAAACTGGCTCCCATCTCTACAAGCAAGGTTGGACACAGAAGTGATTTGCTGCTAATTAGGCTGAACAAATTTTTCAGCTACTGTCAGTTCAGCACAGACCCTTCACTTACCTTTCAAAGCAGCAGCACTCCCTATCTACATATTTATCATATTCCCTCCCAGCACAAGATAGCAGAGCTCTTAAAATATCTCCAGACTCAAACATTGCAGGACAAAAACTCCTAGCTGTATTAAAAAAATAAAAAAAAAAAGACTCAGCTTACTTTTTCTTGAGAGATAACACATTGCTTCAGGCTTAAAATACACTGGTTTAATAAAGAAAGAAAGTCGGTGTTAGGTGAGCTGGGAGACCAAAAACCTCTCAGACTTTCAGTACTTGCAGCACACCTTCTGCATGCCCATTGCCCTGCAAATAACCCATTTCTCACCTTGCCGTGCCTCATATTTGCACTCAACAGTCTTTCCCGAGCCGTCTTTAGACACAGGCTGGCTGTAAGGCTCCAAGCATCCACCGAGCAGCTTCATACAAGCCGGCTCTCTGCAGAACAGAGAAGGCAGCACTGGGCACAGCTGAGCCATCTGCCATCTGCCCACCCCAGCGCCCACCGGAGCAGATCTGGGGGGGGGTGCATCCCTGGAGGGGGGAGCAGCCTGTGGCAGAGGGACAGTGGCCGTAGGAGGTGTCCGGCTGAGCATCGCTCGCCCCCCCCCCGCCCCTCCCTTCTCTCGCCCCGGCTGTGCCCGGCCGCAGCTGCTAGGTTTCTTTTTTTTTTTTTTGCTGGGGGCCTCCAGCTGAGACCCCTGTGCTTGGCTTGCTGAGCAACAACGGGAACTGCCGGTGAAGCAGCAGGCAGGGATGGCTTGAAGGGGCTCCCTTCCCGGCAGCCGAGGTGCAGCGGCGTTAACAGATGGGCAGACGCTGGTGGGGCTCATGGGCGGCTCCCCAGGAGCCTTATGGGGTGTCCACAGAGCTGATCTCCTACAGCCTTCCCAAAGGTTTTCATCCATCCAAGACAGCATCCACTTAATAAAAAGTATTTCTCCGTGACGGAGAATTCTGTGGCTGCGTTCTTATTTAAATGTCTATTAAGTGCAAATGATGTTTGCTACCAGAGGTGAGGGCTGGGATATCTGTGTTCGCTCTGTTTATCCATTTTCAGGTTTTGAGTGAAAGCAAAATACTTCATCTGATCCTAAACCAGTGGATGGGCACAAAATCAGACCAGTGCCAGGCCAGCTGCCACCCTGAAATCTCACATGGTGATCCATCTCTCTCTCTTTATACAGACGTGTGTATATATCTATATATATATACACACATCTATATTTACAGTCAGGAATGTTACAGTTCTGTATTCTGCATTAGTCTTTCAAATCGCATTCTAACCTCCCAGGGAGCCTGTGGTGCATTTTAAACATGTCCGTATTTCAGGACCAATTACTTTTGGTTTTGTTCCCTCCAGATAACCTCTCCCAGCTGAGCAGACCTACGGCCAAAGCCAGAGATTTCCCTCCAATTCAATCTTTTCTAAAGCAAATGCAAAGTCTTTGCTAGCTGGATTTGCTTCTCATTAGGAAGACTTTCAAGAGACTTTGTTTAAAAACTAAAAACAACCCCCAAACCTCTAAACCATTTATAAAATCTTGGCTCCAAGAGCACAACTGCACCTTTTGACCCGTCTGCTGCAAGAGTTCCCAGGGCCAAAAGAGCCAAAAAAAAGCGCGGTCCCCAGTTCACAACGCAAACAGAGCTGGAGCAGAAAACTAAACTGCCTACAGAAAATTTCTCTGCCATGACTATTCTCCTTTGGTTTATTTAAAGCACCTCTTTAATAAATAACCGTTCCCCCCTCTAGGACTTGCAAGGGACCGGGGGGACTCCAGAGCACACAAACGACCCCCTCCCCATGCTACAGCATCTTTGTTATCCAAAAATGCAACCGGCGAAGCACGGGAACCAAGCCGGCGAGCCGTCCCACCCCAGCTCACCACCGTCCCCGTCCCAGCCAGGTGCCTGC